AGCAGGATCCTGGCAATACAATTACCTGCTGGAGAAATGTTTGGAGGAAGTACGGAGAAAGGAAGAGGCTACTAAGAAAAAGTAAGTGCCCTCTTGGCCAATAAAGACTAAAGGGCCAACCTTTAAAACGGTGGTTAGCAAACTACAGTCAGTCCTCAAACCAAATCCAGCCCTTAGGCTGTTTGTGTAAATAAAGTTGTTATTGGAACACAGCCATACACATTCATTTATATTGTTTACAGTGGCTTTTGCACTCTAATGGCAGAGTTGAGTAGTGGCAATAAACACATGGCCTGCAAAGCTCAAAACATTTACTAACTGAATCTTTGCAGAAAAAACCTGCCAAAACCTGTTTTAAAACAAATAGAATTTCCTTTAACTTTGGAAAGTGCTCTGGCAAGAGCATTCAGTTAATCTGTAACAAATGCCAGCACACACTTAAGGGCCGGGGAGGGCATCTCAGAGGCCTAAGGAATTAGTGTTCCGCACTTCTTTTATAGGATAAAGAACAACAGGCGGCCCTCAATTTTTCTGCAGCATCCTTTTAATATTACCTAACTCTTAAATGTTATACTGTTCCATGCCTACAGATTCTAGGTGGCTTTGCACTCTCTGTTTATGTGTGGGCAGTGAGAGCTATGACCATCCCATCATGATGTGTAAGTGGCGTTCCCCCCGGCCCCACACAGTTTTTAGGGTAGTAAGAAATTAAAGAAGAGCTGTATATTTCTGAATTAATGTTTTTGGGTTGTTTTTTTTAAAATTTATACCCAGGAGTGGAATTGCTGGGTCATACGGTAGTTCTGTTTTTAGTTTTTTTGAGAAACCTACATACCATTTTCCACAGTGGCTGCACCAACTGACATTCCCACCAACAGTATACAAGGATTCCCTTTTCTTCACACCCTCGCCAACATCTGTTACTTGTGTTCTTTTTGATGGTGGCCATTTTGACAGGTGTGAGGAGATATCTCATTGTGCTTTTGATTTGCATTTCCTCTGATGATTAGCAGCGCTGAGCATCTTTTCATGTACCTGTTGGCCATCTGCATTTCCTCTTTGGAAAAATGTCTATTCAGTTCTTCTGCCTGAAAAATATCTGTTCAGTTCTGCTGCCTATCTTTTAATCAGGTTGTTATTTGAAAAGATATATGCACCCCAATGTTCATAGCAGCACTCTTCACAATAGCCAAGATATGGAAGCAACTTAAGTGTCCATCAACAGATGAATGGATAAAGAAGCTGTGGTGTGTACACACACACACACACACACAGGACTACTACTCAGCCATAAAAAAGAATGAAATTTTTGCCATTTGCAGCAACATGGGTGAACTTGGAGAGCATTACACTAAGTGAAATAAGTCAGAGAAAGACAAATACTGTACGATATAACTTATATGTGGAATCTAAAACTACAATAAACTAGTGAAGATAACAAAAAAAGAAGCAGACTCACAGATTTAGATAACAAACTAGTGGACGGGGTGGGGAGAGGTAATATATGGGTTGGGGAGTGGGAGGTACAAATTATTGGGTATATATGATAGGCTCACGGATTATCTGTACCACACAGGGACTACAGCCAATATTTTGTAATAACTGTAAATGGAAAGTAACCTTTAAAAATTGCATAGAAAATCATGATCCTACAATATATGTACATGCACAATCCTCGACTTCTGAAAAAATAAAAAATAAAGCACAGCGGACATTTTCAAGCTGAAAGAGTCGCTGGGCGTCATTGTGACCCCCGCACACTAGCGGTCAGGGGCCGTGACTGTACCTGTTGGCCAAAAGCTGGGACCTGGTTCCTGAGGGCGAGGTCAGGTAGATGGCCAGGTCTCCCCTCCTGGGGTGGGTGATGGTGATGCGCACAACTACGTGTTCCAGGTAGCTGACGTGGTGGTTGGGATTGTCGGAGCAGCCCGATGCTTTGTAGACGGAGCGCACCGCACTGTTGGGCCGAACTGTCCTGCAACAGAGAGAAGGGGGTTTGAGCAGAGCACGAGGCAGAGCTCGGCTGCATGAGCCTGCAGGCCTGGAAGGACCGCATGATGCAATGCAAGCCGTGGTCGCTGGAGACTAAGGGACACAGTGTCATTACCCAAATGATCAGGTCGTTTAAGGGAGTAACCCTAGTTAGGGTGGGAAAGGTGCAAGTGAGAGGAAAGGAGGAATGAATGAAGGTTCTTTGATCTTCATGCAGGTAGTGGATATCAATCTTGTTCAGATAGATCGCTGGGCCCTGGTGCTGGAGTGTCTGATTCAGTAAGGCTGGGGTGGGTCACAAGAATAGGCCTTTCCAACAAGTTCCCGGGCGATGGGGATGTTGCTGATCTGCGGAATCCACTTTGTGAACCACCAGTGTAGGGTACTGTGGTACAGTGGAGGCTTGGGGATGACTATGACCTTGATTCAAATCCCTGGTCTACCATTTCCTTTCTCTATAAGCCAAGCGCACAGTCTGCCACTTGCCTACAGGCTCCTGTCCTCTTCACTAGCTTCCTCCTGTGCCACTGTGCCCCTTGAACACTGGGTTCCAGCCACACTAGCATTGGTTCAAGTTCTGGGGTAATTCAAGTTTACCTCAGACACTTTGTATACACTACTCTGCCTCTAGTGCTTTTTTGCTGCTGTTCCTATGGCTGACTCTTCTTTCATAGTCAAAGCTTAAATTTCACTCTCTAAGATGGTCACTGAACCATAGGAGAAACATGTTCCCCACCTTTTATTTACTACCCCTTTTATTTCCAGCATTCACTTATTGTCATTTGTAATGATCTACTTATTATATTACTTTGGTTTGACTCCCCCGCTAGACTGTAAGCTCCACAAGGGCAGGAAGCATTTCTTATTCCTGTTTCTATCCCTAATTATCTAGCCCAGTGCTTGATAGCCAGTAAGTGCTTGATAGCAAGAAAAATTGTTGCTGAATTGGTAAATGAATTTGTGAATGAATAAACAATTATTCCATTTGATCCCATTTCCTCCTTTGTCAAAAGGGAATAATACCCAAGTTGTTATAAAGTTTTAAGAAGAAAACACACACTGTTTCTAGTACTTGGCTTGACCTATAGTAAGAGCTCAATAAATACCGGTTAACTTTTTACTTTTTTTTTTTTTCTCTTATTCTTTGCCACAAGAGGGTAGAATGGGGGAAAAAAAAAACTTAGTCCACTTATTTCTGCTTCCTAACAATTTCCTCAAGAATTATAATGGCTCTAGTTTTATTACAAACCAAAGTTCTTACGTATTTTTCCGAGCTAACTCTCTGAAAAGAAAGCTGAAAGCAAATTACTAATAAAATCACTAAAATAAATCCTATTCTTCGGATTCAGCGCCTAGGAGAGACTTCACTATCACTTGATGAATCCAATCAGCACAGCCTCCAAGTTTGTGAGGCTGAAACAGGGGACTAGGCCCTGGAATCTGAGTAAACTGCAATCTCTTTTACTGTGCATCCTGCATCAATCTTCAGAGAACTACATGGTATGCAGTTAAGTTTCCAGGACATAAGGTTTAGTTTTGGGAGTATACCAACTTATGGGGAATACGTCTACCATAAAATATGGGGAATACGTCTACCATCGATTAGAAATATTGACAGAGTAGAAAACTGAAGAATGCCCATCTGTAAGGGTCCCCCCCCCCGCCCCCCACCTTGTAAGATACGTTTTTCTTTTAAGGATCCTTGGGTTATACTGGTGTGTATTTAATGGCTTAGGGCCTTAGATATTCTATTAGAATTTTATAATTACATTAGAAAAATACTACACAAATTTCTAGTTTCCATGTGCAACATAGGGCTGTCTCAAGATATCTGCACTGGCCTAATCTCTTTTAGGGCACTGTCATGCTGTCTGCTTGCAGCAAACATTACTTGATTTGTCGGTCTGTGCTCTCCACACACACGTGCTGCTGGGGAACAGTGGTCCACTTTTCCGCCTCCATCACCATGGCTTCCGCATCCATCAGTCCAAATCCGTAGAGATGGCTCACTAAAGAAGGCAAGAAGTTGGTCAGCTTTACCGTAGTTAGCAGCAACCTAGGCCATGTATGTTGAGTTATACTTTCACACGGTAGAAAACCCAGACACAACCCTACGGGAGCCAAGCTTTCTTTCTAGCAATGATTAAAAAAAAAATAAAACAAGTAAACAATCATAAGAAAATAAGATGAATGCATATTATTCATTGAATATGTCTATAACTAGTAACATGACTACCATTTATGAATTGTTACTACATGGCAGGCACTAGTCCAGATTTTTACGTTTAATCCTCCCAACAATCTCAAGATGTTAGTGCTACTATTATTATCATTCATGGATGAGAAAACTGAGGAAAGAGAGACACTTGGCTAAGATTGACCAGCAGTTCAGTGGTTGAGCCAAATTTTAACCCACATAGATTCGCTCCCAGGCCTCACTGTTGACCACTTGTATTCAAGTGATAACATCACCAATTTTGTAAGATAAAACAATTAGTAGGTTTAAAGAGAAGTGTATACAACTTCAAAACTACAAATTTTCTGACCTATCTAGTATTTTGGTTGAAAATCCTGGAAGACATAAATTATTATCTTTCCTCTGGCATATGAAAAATTTATTAAACTTCATGCATGAAATATTTGGAGGCCTCTAGACTTTTATGCCAGCTTCTTCTCGAATGTTATAAACTTTTAGCTCTCAATGAGAAATACCTATTGATCTAAAGCTAAATTTGACATAACTGTCTCAGAAGTTTCAATTACATATAGGAATATTTTAATGATGATACAGTGAGATCTACATTTGCAGCTCCTTCTAAAAATACTTTAAAATCCCAGCTGAATGCTTAAAATCTCCACCTTGCATTAAACTCTCTCATATCTTTATATTTAACACAGAGTCCTACTTCGACCAGATTTATTGCCTAAAACATTTCCTTATGACATGAATTACTTTAGGCAAAAATGTCTAGAGATGCCCATGCTTATGGATTATTTAAATACTTCAGCTTGAAATTCAAGATATTCTATGATACAGTCCCAGTCTACTTTCAAAACAACCTCCTCACCAAACCTTTTGCGTTAGCAAGGTCAGTCACTCCTTCTGCAGTCCCAGTCATATCTTGCCCTTTCTGCCTCACTGCCTTTGCTCATGCTGAGCCCTCGGCCTGCAGTTCCCTCACTCATCCTCTCTGCAGAGTCAAACTCTACTCTTCTAAGTCCCTGAAGGCCTAGCTAGTCTATCTTCTCCTTCTTGAAATAGTCTCTGACCAATAAAAGTCAATAGACATTTACTGAATTTCAACCATCTGTGATGAGTGGATTTTCTCCTTTCTAGACCTGTAACTTTAATTAATTTGTCAACCCATCTGCCCTTCTGCCCATCTAGCCAGCCATCCATTCATCCATCCGTCCATGCATCCATCTATTTATCCATGCATCCATCCACCTATCCAACATTTCTTGAGTGCCTTCTATATGTGCCAGGCACTGTATTATGCACTGCACTTTTTACCTGTGTCATCTATTGAATTGCTAATTAACTCTCTGTCAGCATGTCTTTTTACCCCAAATGCATTAGAAACTGCTTGATGGTAGGAACTAGGACTTATATTTCTTTATCTGTTTCATGGAAGTTAGCAGAACTTTATACACATGGGAGGAAATTATAGCATATAAAAAGGAAAATTGTGCTAGGATTCAGAAATACTGCTCCATTTCTGCTATTGGCTAATCATATAACTTTTGGCAAACAAGAAAAAATATCTAACCCACAATTTCCTTGTTTGGGGATATTATTATCTATCCCATCACCATTACTAAATTGATTATTATTATATATCCTACATGAGAAAATCTGTGTAAAGAACTATACAAATGGAAGGGCTCATTATTATATCAGATGCTCAGCCAGACAGGGCATACTGAATAAAACAGAATAAAAGTACTTTGCTATGGCAAGGATATATTTAGGATTTTTATACATGTACTTTTGTAACTTTTATTATAAGTGATTTTTTTCTTGATTAAAAAGTATGTTCATTGTAAAAACTTGTAAATACATCCAGAAAAGAATAAAATAGAACTCATCACAAATCGGTAAATGCTACTAACAATTCTATTTAGTTTTATTTATATAGTATTATGTGAGGTAAGCTTGCTGCCTTAATTAAAAAAGATACAGAGTAACCCACATAATAGAGGAGAAATGTCAAATTTGGGCTTAAGGAAACGAAATGGTGGAGATCTTTTGTTAAACTTCATATAAATCCTATGTTGTCACTTATCACTTAACCATAGTCTATATCATTTCATCATGAATACTCTAAGGTATTTTCTTTCCCTGGAGGAATTGAAATTAGTGCCGAAGATACAATACTAGGCTAACTCTGCATGGTGCACAAATATCCCCATACTAGCGTCAAGCGGTTTTAAACCCGTACAATTCATCATTTAGTCTCAGTTTAGGGAAATGAGATAAGAGATCTGATTGATATGAGGGGAGTAGGGAAGAGGGTAAATGGGGGCCTGGGGAGGGTAAGGGCTTTGAATAGTCTACAAAGTGGGTGCCTGGGCCCCAGCTCAGCTGTGCAGGCTGCTGTTCCCTACCTCCCCACACCCCACTCCCAATAACTGTCAACTTAATAACCTTTAGGACATAAATTAACACACAGAGTCATCAAATACAACGAACACTTCATGACTGTTAAACAACCACTCGAGTTAAGTAGAAAAGCACCTTGAGTCTTTATGAAGGCTGTATATTTGTTTTGGTTTCCGATTCATTTCCTACCCTCAGAGACAAGGTCTGTTCATGTAACACTCAAAGGAGGTGTTCAGAACAGAGGCTGAGTAGCTGCAGTAAAACTACAGACTGGCAGGTCAACAGAAAAAAAAGTGTATATTAATAAAATATTAATAAATGAGGGAATCAGCATAGATCACTGAAGTCCATTGAATCAGTAACGGAGATTTTCAGTATTTTAAATTATTTTAAGATACTTGAAATTGTGTATCTGCCCACAATCATGATACACAGTCTAAGAAAAAAATGAAATAAATTTATTTCTTCTTTTTTTTTGGGGGGGGCGGTGCTGACAATATATCAACTCTGTGTATTCTGATTGGCAGTTATTTGTTTGGTTTTTGGCAAACAGTAATGAGAAGATAATTACACAATGAATGTGTTGGGCAGATAAACTCCTTCAAAACATGGTGTCAACAGGGAAACAAGCCATTAAATGGTATGGGAGCACTAGTAATTTTTCTGAGGTATAACTGACATGTAATAATTTTTTATATAATATAAAGTTTCACATTCTAAAATTAGCTATAAATTCAGAAACACTGTTTTGAGTCAACCATTTGAGTCAAGTCTTGCCCATCACACTGTTATCACTGTTACCATGCCCCATGGAGTATGATTTCTTACAGTGGCTGCAGAACATCTGGCTTAGAGATGAGGTTCCATATGTATTTGTGAAGTGAATGAATGTAACTGATTAGAGAAATTTTCTTTAATTCACCAAGTGGCATAAAGTGTTTTTAGGAGAATTGTAAGGGGGAATTAGGAGCTCTGTTCTTTTTGTTACTGACTACTATAAAGTCATCATTAATACTCAAAATGTATTCAAGTATAGAGCCAATATTCCTATTTTAAACATTTATGATTACCTGTATAGCAAATACACCATGCATACAACTGGCTGTGATATGGCCATTCCATAACTAAAATAGTTTTATCTATGCACGTTTCTTATGCCAAGATCAGAGCAAATCCTGAGCCTGAAAGTAACTTCATGATGATCAAGTGGGACCTCTCTGTGCAAGCACTGTGCCAGATGCAAAATTCTTTGAATTCAATATTTAGAAAGACATTGAGGGAACAAAGCATGTATATAGATCAACTAAAGATCTCGAAGCACAGTTAAGAAATGTATTTCAGAAAGTACATTTATCTCTTGATAGAATGACGCTGAACAAGCTTATTAAAGGGAATCTGAAAAACTTGCTTAGCATTATATTTGCTCCATTAGGCTGCATGACTGTTTATGCAGATAAGTTCCGAAAAGTGGAACTGCCTGGCGCCAGAAGTTTAACTAGTTCTTATGCCAAGTAATCCAAAAGCTTCCTTGTTTGGACTAGTTAGATGGCCGAGAGAAGGCAGGAAAATAGATAATGTTCTCCGGCAGGTATATTTCCATTTTCTGATGAGACCATAAGTGCCAAGAGGAGCTAATCATTAAATACACAAGTAAACAACTGCAAAGTTCAAAAGCAGATACAGTTAATTTAGACAACAGTGCTAGCTATGAGACCTAAGAAAGTCAGTTCTAAAGAAAAGTTAGAAAGCTCAGTAGGAAAAGAAAAATGAGAAGTTTCGGGCACAGGAAGCTATAACCAGGGAAATTTGGTGGACTTCTGTCTCTCTTAGCGGACTACCCTTGCTGACGCCAGCTATTTTAAATCTTTTTTAGAAAAATACCATACTGAATAGATATTTCATAACTCTAAAATGGCTATTAGTAAAGCACTCGCTATATACTAAAGTAATTGGAAAAAGTTGTGTGTGTGATTTTTTTTTTTTTTTTTAAGTTTTTGAGCTTCCTGAAGTAAGGCTTTCTGCTACCAGCTGTCAGATGTACAGACAATGCTAGGTAGCATCCAGTGTAAAGTAGGGCAACAACAACAAAAAACATCCAAGTTGCCTATGAGAGATTAAAAATTTTGCCTGTGACTGAAAACAATACAATAAGTGACAGCTATCCATTCCTGAGCATTTAATATAAAAGTACAGCCAATTTCTTCCATTGGGGAAATCATTTCTTATGACTAACACAAATAAATGCCTAGGTTTACCCAGACATGTCCTGGTTTTAGCACTGAAATCCTGTGTCCCGGGGAAAGCCTTCATTCATGGACAAACCAGGAGAGTGGCTACCCCACGTGCAACCAAGGGAGTAAGGTGATGCTCTTATGGGGTGGCAGAGAGCTCTCACATCTTTTAGTA